CTTGAAGTATCCATGCAAATCATCTTGTAATTACAGAACATACAGAGTGTCGCAGGTGCACACGAAAAAAATAAGTAGATTGCACGACTTCGGCGCAAAGGTAATATTTGCATTAAAGTAGTGTCATCACCAGAAATCATAAGCATTGCTGAAATTATGCACTGGCCCCATTCCTCTTATGCAAGTGGCCGTGATACATTTCATACATAGAAAAGTATTGAAAACATGTTTATTGAACGATTTTATTCCATTTAAACAAAAAAACTTAAAAGTTGAACTTACATCTTGAAAATTGACATGATTCGAAGATACTGGTGTAAACATGGGCCAAAAATATTGAAAAGCGACCTTGATTTTTTTCGTTTAAAAACTTGTTGCTCCTGAAAGTCCTGTCAATTTGACGCGTGTTGCAATATTCTAATTACAATACAAAATGTCATCAAATAGCCAAAAAATCTGGTCAAATATAACGAACACATGGCCTTAAAGAGGAATGTTGAACTTGGATAATTGCACACGAATATAACTGCACTCTATTCGAATGACTTTTAAGTCAAAACAAGATATATTACCTTGCTTTTCCCGACTGAAATTGCGTATTACATTGTACTTCTGAATTTGCGTTTTGTAACGATAGGAGAAAGAAATTCGCAAAGTTTTAAAAAATCTTTCGAAAATCCATTATTCTCCATTAATCCATTATGACCAGTACGAACTGTCGTTAAGCCTGAAATTGCCGCTAAAAGCCTGGAAATTCTTATATAGTTTGCATTTTTGACATGTCTGACAACGTCGATGTTCGTGAATATTTGCAATTCAAATAAGATATTTCGTTTGCAAGCAAAGTTGATTTGTCCTATGTTTGTGAAGATTATTATAACGAAGTTTTGGCACGGTATATATATTCCTGTCGAAGTTTTAATAAAATGCCCATATTGAAAAATTGATTATTATTATGCTAAAGGGGATGGCCACTGACCAACAACAGAGGGCACCACGGTAAGGATTTCTGTCGATGGTTAATTGTTTTAAAGTTTGAAACAGTCGGTGCTACTCGCGGGTGTTTAAACCCTCTTTATATAGTGATGCATTGTGGCAATAAGGGACACTAACACACAAATTTCTAAATTGAAAAATTTGTCAACATTCGCATGCATGGTTTCAAATACGTTTCAGCCATACGCAACATACCTAACTACGGACATTCAACTTCTCTAAACAAGTAGAATAGGAATCGAATCTGAATTTCCGCTTTCGAAATTCCTTGTTATAATTGTATATCATCTCGTGAAATTCTTAAGCATTAATCGGATGTCTTTTCACTTCTTGGAATAGCGGCACAGTATAAGAATTGAAGATGCATGTCAAAGCACATTTACACTCTACAGTCAACCGTCCACAAAACTATAAAAATGCATAACTAACCAAAGAAAAGATACCGTCATTGTAGGATGGAAGAAAGGTAAATTGAACATATATATCTTTTATAAAACGAGTGCATGCAAATATAAAACTTCCGTCGTGTATTGTAGGATACAGGTGTTCAAAACTTAAAGAGGTAATTAATTAGCACTGCAATTCAAAGGGATATACAAGGATACTATAAAATAGTCTTCCTTGTGTCAACTCTCAATAGTGGTATATAGTTAACAACTGCCTAGAATAAATAAAGATATCTTTCGAAGTTTCGACTTTTCGATCTTCGTTTTTATAACACATTAATAATCGGGTGTTAGTGGTTTAAAGACGCTGTCATGCATGCTGCTTCCTGCTTTTGATTATCATTACTGTACGATCCTTGAAGTATCCATGCAATGCATCTTGTAATTACAGAACATACAGATTGTCGCAGGCGCACACGAAATAGATAAGTAGATTGCACGACTTCGGTGCAAAGGTAATATTTGCATTAAAGTAGTGTTAATTGTTTTAAAGTTTGAAACAGTCGGTGCTACTCGCGGGTGTTTGAACCCTCTTTATATAGTGATGCATTGTGGCTCTAAGGGACACTGTACACACAAATTTCTAAATTAAAAAATATGTCAACATTAGCATGCATGGTTTCAAATACGTTTCAGCAATACGCAACATACCTAACTATCGGACATTCAACTTCCTCTAAACAAGTAGAATAGAATCGAATCGTAATTTCCGCTTTCGAATTCTTTGTTATAATTGTATATCATCTCGTGAAATTCTTAGCATTATCAATCGGATGTCTTTTCACTTCTTGGAATAGCGGCACCGTATAAGAATTTAAGATGCATGTCAAAGCACATTTACAGTCTACAGACAACCGTCCACAAAACTAATAAAAATTCATAGCTAACCAAAGAAAAGATACTGTCATTAATTGTAGGATGGAAGAAAGGTAAATTGAACATATATATCTTATATAAAACGAGTGCATGCAAATATACAACTTCTGTCGCGTATTGTAGGATACAGGTGTTCAAAACTGACGAGGTAATTAATTAGGACTGCTATGTAAAAGAATATACAAGGATACTATAAAATAGTCTGGCTTGTGTCAACTGTCAATAGTGGTATATAGTTAACAACTGCCTAGAATAAATAAAAATATCTTTCGAAGTTTCGACTTTTCGATCTTCGTTTTTATAACACATTAATAATCGGGTGTTAGTGGTTTAAAGACGCTGTCATGCATGCTGCTTCCTGCTTTTGATTATCATTACTAGACGATCCTTGAAGTATCCATGCAAAATCATCTTGTAATTGCAGAACATACAGAGTGTCGCAGGTGCACACGAAAAAAATAAGTAGATTGCACGACTTCGGCGCAAAGGTAATATTTGCATTAAAGTAGTGTCATCACCAGAAATCATAAGCATTGCTGAAATTATGCACTCGCCCCATTCCTCTTATGCAAGTGGCCGTGATACATTTCATACATAGAAAAGTATTGAAAACATGTTTATTTAACGATTTTATTCCATTTAAACAAAAAAACTTAAAGTTGAACTTACATCTTGAAAAATTGACATGATTCGAAGATACTGGTGTAAACATGGGCCAAAAATATTGAAAAGCGACCTTGATTTTTTTCGTTTAAAACTTGTTGCTTCTGAAAGTCCTGTCAATTTGACGCGTGTTGCAATATTCTAATTACAATACAAAATGTCATCAAATAGCCAAAAAATCTGGTCAAATATAACGAACACATGGCCTTAAAGAGGAATGTTGAACTTGGATAATTGCACACGAATATAACTGCACTCTATTCGAATGACTTTTAAGTCAAAACAAATATATTTACCTTGCTTTTCCCGACTGAAATTGCGTATTACATTGTACTTCTGAATTTGCGTTTTGTAACGATAGGAGAAAGAAATTCGCAAAGTTTTAAAAAATATTCTTCGAAAATCCATTATTCTCCATTAATCCATTATGACCAGTACGAACTGTCGTTAAGCCTGAAATTGCCGCTAAACGCCTGGAAATTCTTATATAGTTTGCATTTTTGACATGTCTGACAACGTCGATGTTCGTGAATATTTGCAATTCAAATCAGATATTTCGTTTGCAAGCAAAGTTGATTTGTCCTATGTTTGTGAAGAGTATTATAACGAAGTATTTGGCACGGTATATATATTCCTGTCGAAGTTTTAATAAAATGCCCATATTGAAAAAATTGATTATGATTATGCTAAAGGGGATGGCCACTGACCAACAACAGAGGGCACCACGGTAAGGATTTCTGTCGATGGTTAATTGTTTTAAAGTTTGAAACAGTCGGTGCTACTCGCGGGTGTTTAAACCCTCTTTATAATAGTGATGCATTGTGGCAATAAGGGACACTCTACACACAAATTTCTAAATTGAAAAATTTGTCAACATTCGCATGCATGGTTTCAAATACGTTTCAGCCATACGCAACATACCTAACTATCGGACATTCAACTTCCTCTAAACAAGTAGAATAGAATCGAATCTGAATTTCCGCTTTCGAATTCTTTGTTATAATTGTTATCATCTCGCGAAATTCTTAGCATTATCAATCGGATGTCTTTTCACTTCTTGGAATAGCGGCACAGTATAAGAATTGAAAATGCATGTCAAAGCACATTTACACTCTACAGTCAACCGTCCACAAAACTAATAAAAATGCATAACTAACCAAAGGAAAGATACGTCATTGTAGGATGGAAGAAAGGTAAATTGAACATATATATCTTTTATAAAACGAGTGCGTGCAAATATAAAACTTCCGTCGTGTATTGTAGGATACAGGTGTTCAAAACTTAAAGAGGTAATTAATTAGCACTGCCATTCAAAGGGATATACAAGGATACTATAAAATAGTCTTCCTTGTGTCAACTCTCAATAGTGGTATATAGTTAACAACTGCCTAGAATAAATAAAAATATCTTTCGAAGTTTCGACTTTTCGATCTTCGTTTTTATAACACATTAATAATCGGGTGTTAGTGGTTTAAAGACGCTGTCATGCCTGCTGCTTCCTGCTTTTGAATATCATTACTGGACGATCCTTGAAGTATCCATGCAATGCATCTTGTAATTACAGAACATACAGATTGTCGCAGGCGCACACGAAATAAATAAGTAGATTGCACGACTTCGGTGCAAAGGTAATATTTGCATTAAAGTAGTGTTAATTGTTTTAAAGTTTGAAACAGTCGGTGCTACTCGCGGGTGTTTAAACCCTCTTTATATAGTGATGCATTGTGGCAATAAGGGACACTCTACACACAAATTTCTAAATTTAAAAATATGTCAACATTAGCATGCATGGTTTCAAATACGTTTCAGCCATACGCAACATACCTAACTATCGGACATTCAACTTCCTCTAAACAAGTAGAATAGAATCGAATCTGAATTTCCGCTTTCGAATTCTTTGTTATAATTGTATATCATCTCGTGAAATTCTTAGCATTATCAATCGGATGTTTTTTCACTTCTTGGGATAGCGGCACCGTATAAGAATTTAAGATGCATGTCAAAGCACATTTACAGTCTACAGACAACCGTCCACAAAACTAATAAAAATTCATAGCTAACCAAAGAAAAGATACCGTCATTGTAGGATGGAAGAAAGGTAAATTGAACATATATATCTTATATAAAACGAGTGTATATACAACTGCCTGTGATATACAATGTGAGTGTGATATACAACTTCTGTCGCGTATTGTAGGATACAGGTGTTCAAAACTGACGAGGTAATTAATTAGCACTGCTATGTAAAGGAATTTACAAGGATACTATAAAATAGTCTGGCTTGTGTCAACTGTCAATAGTGGTATATAGTTAACAACTGCCTAGAATAAATAAAGATATCTTTCGAAGTTTCGACTTTTCGATCTTCGTTTTTATAACACATTAATAATCGGGTGTTAGTGGTTTAAAGACGCTGTCATGCATGCTGCTTCCTGCTTTTGATTATCATTACTAGTCGTCTAGTATCCTTGAAGTATCCATGCAATTCATCTTGTAATTACAGAACATACAGAGTGTCGCAGGTGCACACGAAATAAATAAGTAGATTGCACGACTTCGGCGCAAAGGTAATATTTGCATTAAATTAATCAAAGAGACAACCGTCGAGAAATCTTCTATCTGAAAGCATATAGTAAGCATCATATGAGCTTTTCTTAGTTATGGCGTGAATTTAGTTTTTCTTCTGGGTTGTGTATTCATGCATCTTAAGCTTTGCAAGCTTTAACAATTTCTTTTTGCATCAAATGACTACTATAGTATGCATTCCCGAACATTCAATTTAAATTTGTAAGTTTTGTCAATAAACTTTACCTAAATCATTTCGTGAATATACATAGCTACTGCATTTATATATATTATTTTCGACAGCTTGTGTTATGATTTGATGTTTTATAAACGATCGTAGCTAATAGCCTAATATATCGTGTAGTTTGTGAATGTTCGTATGAAACAATGTAACAAGAGTCATATTTTTAAGTGTTTTGCTCATCGATTTAGATGATATTTCTGGACTGATATTATTTCTATATTTTTGTTAATTTCAGGTCAATGTCGGTATCGTTTTTTTATTTAATTCCTATTAAAAACACAGGGGGTCTGACTCTTTGAAAGCTCGGTGTTTTTGAAAGCTAATCTTTATCACGATTTCGCGAATCCCTGCTGGTAAATGTTAATCACTTTATTCAGGTCATATTTATTCAACTCAAGTTAATTCTGATATAAAGAACGTAACAATAAAAACTGCACGTATAATAATTTGTGCGTTATTATTGAGAAAGGAGCAATAAGAATATAGCTATACAGCTAGTTTTTCGTGTAATTTAGTACATATTTTAGTACTATATAGAAAACGTGGCAATCTTAATAATCATAGTTATTTTTAAGAATTTTTTATCACCGCACATATCATCCCAAGGGGAGGTGAATGATAAAAATGGTCCTAAGTGGAAATAGGTAATTTAAATATGGCGTAATTGTACGGGTTCTACAGAGATTTTTTTGTATTTTTGAGACCCCATTGCCATGACTTGATTTCCAGCATTTTGCGTGACAATTACTGATGAATTCATTTCTGCAGAGTAAGGTCTGTTGAGGAAATAGCATTATCACTGCATATATATCTCATCTTATCACTGCACATTCTGCTTTTATCACTGCACAAATTGGTTATCACTGCACACTAAAATTAGTTTGCACCTACCAATTAGAATACTCCGTTTAAAAAACCAATTTTTGAAAGACACTTTTAGACCATTATTATTCATTCAGTGATCGCAATTTCATTAAAAAACTCAGTATGAAGTCTAAATTTCTACTTTCGAATTCTTTGTTATAAATTTGCATCATCTCGCAAAATTCTTAGCATTGTGAATCAAATGTCTTTTCATTTGTGCGAATAGTAGGAATTGAAGATCTCAAGATGCATGTTACATGCAGATAACTGTCGAGAAAACTACCAAAATTCATAGTCAACCAAACAACATATAGCGTTAGTGCAGGGTGGAAGAAAGGTAAATTGAACGTATTTGATATTTACCAGACACAGCTCAGCCCTGTGCACTTATACCAAACACCGTCTATCATGCGACCGCGAACCCATGCAAATAACGGGTAAAACGAGTGCATGCAAATGTATAACTTCCGTCTTGTATTGTAGGATACAGGTGTGCAAAATTGACGAGGTAGTTAATTAGCACTGCCATGCAATTGGAATATACAGGACTACTATAAAATAGTCAACCTTGTGCCAATAGTGGTATAGGTAAAAGCTCTCTAAAATAAAAAAAAAATTTAAAAGTTTCGACCTTTCTGTCTTCGTCAGGAATGTTAGTAAAATCATCTTACTAAATCTCCTGACGAATTAAGGCCATATATAGATAGTCAAAAGTGTCGTGAAGCGTCTTTGTCTATTTTAGGCAGTTGTTATATCACATATATGATCCGGTGTTAGTTGTTTGAAGAGGCTGTCAATTAAGGTGCTTTCTGCTTTTGATTATCACTGAACGATCCTTGAAGTATCCATACAATGCATCTCGTAATTACAGTAGCTACAGAGTGTTGCAGGTACACACGGATATTAAATAGATAAATTTCACGACTTCGAAGCAAAGGGTTATATTGGCATTAAAGAGGTGTTAATTGTTTGGAAGTTTGAAATAGTCGGTGCTACAACGGTACGACTTTCATGCAGTAAAGTTTCCTGTTTGTCCAACCCTAATCGGTATGAATGCTCGCGGGTGTTTAAACCATCTTTATATAGTGATGCATTGTCATGATTTCAAATACGCCGGTTTCAGCCATATACGCAACATAACTATCGGACATTCCACCTGCTCTATTCAATTAGAATAGTCTGAATTGATTAATATTTGCCAAAGACAAAGTGCATGGAATGAGTTTAAAGTGCATGTCTCGCGATGTTCTTTTCTTATAACGAACTTGTTTGAAGGCATCATATGAGCTATTCTTAGTTATGGCAGGACTGAATTTAGTGTTTCCTCTGTGTTGTGTATTTCTGCATCTTAAGCTAACTCGCTCGACGCTGCGCCGCTACGTGCCTTATTAGCGCGTACGACTCAAATTCGCAGAATAACCGGTAAACTAATTAGTACATTATTTTCTAGAAATAACCTAACAAAAACCGGGGTTAACCGAGGTCAGACCGAGGTCGAAACACGGTGAGACGGAGGTTTAACCTTGGTTGAACCTTGGTCTGACAGACATTAAGATATTTTCATTTGATTAATGTGTTGTCGTTCTTAGCTGTTCATAACATGCATTCCGTTCGGAAGCGAACGGCAACCTCGATCGTATTTTTTCCCTTGCGGTTGTCTGCGGTCGACCGCAATCGTAGCTGGAACCGCAGTGTTAGGTTATTTCTGGACAGTACTGTATATATCTTTTAATGACAGTTAGAGTAATCCTATCCCTATAAGAACTTTTATGCAAATTAAATATCGTATAAGAGCTAGCATATACAGGCCAAGCAAACACAAGGACGCAGATGAGATGCGCAACTTTGAGTTCCCATTCATTTTGATAACGGACAAAATTAGCTAAATATTTTTATTTTATTAACTCGTTAGAATACAGACGCAAGCCGCAAGGAGAAACTTCTTAGCGCCTTCAGAATTTGCCCATAACTAATTTAAACTGGCCAAAACGCAGCGTTTAATCCAGCATTAGTAAATTTCATAGTATATTTCAGTAAGCTAAACAATTGTGTTCATCTTCTGACGTCACACGACAGCAAGATGGCGACCAAAAAGTTCGTACAGGAAGTTCCAAAAATTGCAACTTTAGAGAGCTATAAAATCTGAATGTTGCGTTGACCAAATGACGAAACGGTTTTTATACAGTGAGAAAGGTCCCGGGCAACGGTGATTTTAAGTTTGTATATTTGTATCTTAAGCCGGTTTGTATATCATTGTGTATTTGTAACCTCGTGGCTGCTTGGGCCAATATATCACTCATTCAAGTGTCTTCTTTGCATGCAACCGAACCTAAATATGCAGGCACGCAAATTTAATTGGCTTTCATAGTTACTATTTAGTTGTTCATCAATTCAATTAAGATGTGAAGACTTACTTCAACATTTACTTTCTGTGTATTATTTTATAATAGCGTCAGTTTGCAACCTAACAGCAATGGCGATAACAGCGAAGAAGAATGCCCTTCTAAGGAACGAACACGCTTTTGCTTCAGATCTGGAATTCAACAGAAATGGGCTTTATTGCACCAGCTTTTTATCATATTTCTTGAAAAACTCTTTGAAATATCTGCCATATTTATTTCTCGACGGCCATTTCTCGTGACTTTGTGTTGTCTTTTTGTCACTATTGCTCTTACGGGTGGCTTCGGGAAATTAAAAGTCGAAAAAAGTGTGAAGTTTTTGTACCTACCAGAAAACAGTGAAGCATCACAGGATATACGAAGGGCAAGAAGTCTAGGCTTCGAACTGGAAGTGCGACAAGAAGAACTTATTGTCTTGCCTAAACCTGGGAAGTCTGTCCTGTCGCAAGAATGTTTGGCGGAAATGATTGATTTACATAACATTATTATAGAGATAGAGCATTACGACGAATACTGTTTTAAACTAAACTCTAATAGCAGTTGTGCCTCAACAAACATATTGGAAGCTTTTGGTTTGAAAAAGGAAAATCTAGTTGGCAATATTTTACAACGTATCGAGACCATAATCCAGAATGATACTTTTCTTATGTCGAACGGAAGAAGACTCTTGGATAATTTTAATCAAATTTTTGGAAACACCGCTTCTATTAATTCAATTAATTCCACAAACGCACTGAGAATAGTTTACTTTATGAGAGAGTATGACAGAGGAGAAGAGGGAAGGGAAGGCATCTTGGAGTGGGAAAAGATATTTTTGAATAAAGTATCATCTTTTTCGAAAAATACTACGTGTGCGAATGTCTTTTATGCAGCAGAAAGAAGCCTGGACGACTCAGTTGAGGAAAGTACTGGTTCTGATATTAAGTTTTTTGCCGTAACATTTGTGATCATGGGAATTCTTAGTGGCGTTGTGAATGGAAGATGCGCAGATGCTCGTTACGGCCATCAATTGTTAGGATTTAGTGCCTTGTTGTCCATATATCTAGGGGTCACTAGCTCGCTTGGTTTCTTAATGTTGGTCGGTGTTCCTTTTATCAGTATGGTCGGTGTTCTACCATTTTTGGTTGTTAGCATTGGCATTGACGATGTGTTCATTATCCTCCACGAACTGAATGAAATGATCCATCAAGATATACCTGCAAATCATATTCTTAGTGCGACAATGGCTAGAAGCGGTCCAACTATTACTATGACAACTCTTACAGATCTCGTAGCATTTGCCGTGAGCTGTCGCTCCATCTTCCCTTCTATTCGTATTTTCTGCACATACGCAGCTCTAACAATTTCATCTGTTTTTGTTCTGCTGCTAACATTTTTTGTTGGTTGTATGTGGTTTGATATTAAAAGAATCAACGCTGGACGCCGTGATTTTTTGCCTTGGTTAATGAGTCCTTCCCCAACTGATTGTTGCTCAGGAATCCGGAGAAGTGGACTTGATAACGTTATGAAAGCATGGGGGAAGAAAATTGTGTCACCCGCTGGCAAAATCATTATCTTTTTGAGTTCACTAATTCTTCTTTCCTTTGGGATTTATGGCGCTCGTAGCATTGACGAGAGCTTCAACAGAAAGCTGTTTACAACTGAAGATTCGCATTACCGGGAATTTCTAAAAGTTTATGAAGAAAACTTTCATCTTAATATCGAAGTCAATATTATCTTTACATCACAGGCTGATCAGTCGAGCAACGAAATTGAAAAAAAATACTTCTATGTGGAGAATCTTGTTAAAAATAATGAATATTTCGTCACAGGAAGCATATCATGGTTATCTGAATATATATCTTGGGCACAAAAAAGAAACATCGAGATTAACAATACCAGAATGTTCCATGCCTACTTGCATGAATTTATTTCAATTCCGAAGTATCAAAGATTCGCCCAGGATCTCAAATTTTCTGAAGATAAAACACATTTGAAAGCTTCAAGGATCTTAGTTTATTCTAGAAGTGACCCTGACTCAACCTTTCAGAGAAATATGATGGCCAGCATTCGAAAAGATCTCTTCCATTCCTCGAATGTTCATGCTTTTGCCGTTGCCCTACCGTTCATATACTTTGAACAGTATGCACGTGTACTTGATGAAACCATTAGGTACTTGATCGTCGCCGGAATTTCAATTATTGTGATATCGTGCTTGTTTCTTAATCACTTTGTAATAATATTTTGTCTTATGTGGGGATTTGTTGCTCTTATATTTGAACTACTTGGCCTGATGTACATATGGAATGTCTCGTTAAACTCAATTTCTATGATAAACCTTGTTATGGCATTGGGATTTTCTGTAGATTACAACGCACACGTCGCTTTTCACTTTGTTTCCTCTAAGGCTACCACGCCTGAATTTCGTGTCATCGATGCTCTACACAGAGTTGGCGGTAGTGTCTTCCTAAGAGGGCTTAGTACCTTCCTTGGAATGATGCCAACGTTATTCACTTCCTCCACAATATTTCAAACATTTTTCAAAATGTTTGTTGGCATCGTTATTCTTGGTTTGCTTCATGGCTTAGTTATATTACCTGTTTACCTGACTCTACTAGGAAAGATATTTGACTTCCGCGAAGAAAACAATGACTGGTTTATTACGAAATGGTTCAACCGTACAAAGAAACGCAAATTCAGAAAAATTAAAAACCTAAGTTTTTCTAAATCAGTTGCTAAAACTGAAACGCCTAATCCTATTGCAATTGTCGGAATCAGTTGCCGGTTCCCCGGTGGTGCAAACTCAAAAGATGCCTTTTGGGATATGATAGCAGAGGGTAGATGTGGTATTGGCACTTATCCAACGAACAGGCCAGACGCGAGAGAGTTTACCGATTCCTTTAATACAGGAAAACACACGCCAGGAAAACATTATGTCCTTACTGGTGCTTTTCTTGATAAAATTACAGGATTTGACGCCCATTTTTTTGGAATATCCCCAAGCGAGTGTCGGTCAATGGATCCGCAACAGCGAATACTTCTCCAAGTTGTTTATGAAGCAATTGAGGATGCTGGCATACGTCTAGAAGATTTACAACAATGTCGAACTGGTGTTTATGTTGGATCGATGAATATAGAATACGCTTCTCTTGTTATGAATCAGTCAAATATTCGAAAAATTGATCAATTCTCCTCGACTGGTTGTGCTTTGTCAGTTTTGGCAAACCGTATATCTTTTTCCTTGAACTTAACTGGTCCAAGTTTAACGATGGATACAGCCTGTTCATCTTCTCTGGTTGCTCTTGATGTAGCATATGTACATTTACAAAATGGTGAATGCGACGCTGCGATAGTATGTGCGCCAAATATTCTTCTGGTTGGAAACATATTTCATACAGCATGCTGCAGGACTGGATTATTAGCCGAAGATGGACGTTGCAAAAGTTTTGACATAAAAGGAGACGGATATGGGCGGGGGGAAGGTGTAGCTGCCATCATTTTGAAACCAACTCAAAACGCTTTGGATGATCGAGATAACATTTATGCGGAAGTTGTAGCGTGTGGTACGAATAACGATGGTCAAACGGCAATCCCAATGACAGCACCTAGTGAGGCAACACAAGCCGCTCTGTTTCAAAGAGTTCTTCAAGAATCTGGTTTGTCTAAAGACGACATAAGTTATGTGGAAGCGCATGGTACTGGTACAGCTGTTGGAGACGTCGTCGAAATGGGCTCATTATCCGAAGTTTATGGAAACAGTAGTGGAAGGGTACTTCGTGTAGGATCAGTTAAATCAAACATAAACCATACGGAGTCAACAGCAGGATTAGCCGGATTGATAAAAGTATGTTTGATGATAAAACATGCTCGATTTGTCCCTACAATTAACGTGCATCAATTGAAGCCGCAGCTTAAATTGCCCGAGCGAAAAATGGTTGTTCAAGCTTGTAATGAAGCTTGGAAAACTGAAGAAGACAAACCGAGAGTTGCTGCGATCTCCTCGTATGGCTTCGGTGGAACAAATGCTCATGCTATCGTCAGAGAAGTTACTAAGAAGCCTGTCGTGATAGTTAAAAATAGATCTTCATTTAACAGAGTTCTGACACTATCTACGGCGTCGAAAGATGCATTGAGGGCAATGGCCGGGAAGATGTCCCAATCGCTTATGTTAAAGCCTGATGACGATGAAATTCTTAAGGACGATATTTGTTATTCCCTAAATGAAAGGTACACAATATTGCCCCATCGCTTAGCGGTCAGCTTTCATTCATTCAAAAATGCAGCAAAAGCCCTAGAGATGTTTTCCAGTCAGACAAATGGATGGGAAGAATTAGTGGCTACCGGCAACGTTGCTAAAGTACCTAAAAGTGTCGTATTCCTCTACGGTGGTCAAGGGGCTCAGTGGCACGGCATGGCAAAAGAAATGTTGGTCCATGAGCCGAAATTTAAGGAAAGCATTGAAGAGATTGACGCACTCCTGAAAAAACACAATGCTCCCTGGTCCTTGATTACTGAGCTCAAAAAACCCGAAGAAACCTCCCTACTTCATGAAAACCAAGTTGGACAGACGGCATTGTTTGCCATACATGTTGCTTTGACTGACCTGCTGCATTCATGGGGTGTTCGACCGTCTGCTGTAGTTGGTCACAGCCTTGGAGAAATATCAGCAGCTTGGGCATCTGGAGCATTGCCTTTGAGTAAAGCTTTGCAGTTGGTTCTGTTTCGCTCCCAACTTCACGAGAAATGTTCCCCAACAGGCTGTATGGCTGCCATTGGGATGGCAGAGGAAGAAGCTCGACGTATGCTGCAAGATCTTCAATTGGAAAACGAAGTTGATATTGCAGTCGTCAATAGCCCTGGTAATGTTGTGCTATCTGGTAACAAATTGTCTGTAGATCTTGTTGAAAACCACGTATCCAATCAAAGAGGAGAAATATTTTGGAAGAAACTTACCACAACACGAGCATATCATAGCCGGGGAATGGATGAAATAAAGCAAGCATATTTCAAACTCACAAGTAAATTCAATGTCAATCAGACGCAAAGCAATATACCATTTTACTCAACTGTTACCGGCGCCCAGCTATCTGGTCACCTCTTGTCACTCGAGCATTGGTGGCGTAACATCCGTGAAACGGTTCTACTAGAGCCTGTATTAAAAAATATGTTTTCTGATGGTCACCAGTTCTTTCTTGAAATTAATGCAGCGCCTCAGCTTTCGTACCATGTTCGTGAAACCTGGTCCCGCAATCAAGCGTCTGGCCCCCGGCAGTCAAATGACGTCGTCGTGGTTCAAACTCTGCCAAAGCGGTCAGTTAATAACCAGCACTTATCATTTCTTCAAAATTGTGTTGCTCGTCTCTTTGTAAATGGTGTGCCGTTATCATGGAATAAAATACAAGGCTCAGGATCGAAAACCTTTTTCCCCCGTCCGACATATCCATGGCAAGAGAAAGAGTTTTGGTACCGCAGTGCCCATCCGCCTGAATTCGTTACATTCCTTGATCAGCGAAACACTGACGAACAAACTACTACAACTGCCACTATCCATCCCCTTCTTGGCAAAACTGTACCGACAGAAACATTTACTGGTTTAGAAGCTTGGGAATCTGAAATCAATTTGCACGATGTTCCCTACATCAAGGATCACAAATTTTCACAATCATCGGACCCAGTGATGCCTGCAGCTGTTTATGTCGAGATGATAGCTGCAATGTCGTTGCATTTATCTCCACAATCAACTCCCGAAATACGGATCATTCGCTTTGAAAAACTCCTGACCATATCCAACAACGATTCGTACAGGATTAGAACACGTCTTCTGCCTAGAAAATCTTTCAGTGAAGAAAAATCATTTCAGATAACAATAGTGGAAAGCAACGAAGAAGAGATTGTTGTTTCACAAGGCTCTATTCAACTTGGTGTTGAGGATGGGAATATTTTAAAACGTATGTATTTTTAAACAGGTCATCCGTTTACAGTTAGATAATTACCTTCAGATAACGTTTGCATAACCTCGCAATTTAAAGCAATCAATCAAAATGAACTATCAAGCAAAACATGAGGCAGGTTGCGATGGCAAAATACTAATTACCACGGGAAGTTGCACTTTCAAAATTTTAAGATAATTTTTCGCATCCTTTTCTAAATATGAACGGTAGATTTTGTTGTGATCGTAAGGTGGCCCCGTATAGGGTATTGAAATTGTCAAAATAGTACACGTCTTGAACAGGAATATTAAGCCATATAAATGTTTGTCTAGAAGACTGAACTTTAATATAACATTTACGCAACATATGTAGAGCCGAAATCAATTTCGAACTTTCGCTTGGCAACCGTTGCTATAGCAAAAGAGGCGTTTCAAAATGGCCGCCAATTAGAATTTAATAAGTATATATCAGAAACGAGTACGGTGACCCCCGATTTTTTTGGCATCAATATTTCAAGTTCAATATTTTTAAAAAAAAACATTTTTTGCAATATAAAAAACTAGATTAAAACTAGATTAAACTTTATTCAACGGCCATTTTGAAATGCCCGTAAGATCTAGGCTAGCGTAACCCGTATACCGAGGGCGGAACACTTTTTTGTTAAATGTGACATCGGCACCGAAGTGATTTAAATTTCATTATCTATGTGACATTTAACTGGAAGGTCAACAGTCAGGTATTTTTTGTTATTCATATGTACTCGTGTAATATCTCTTTGTTATTGTGGTTTTATAGTTTATAAGGTATTTACGTATTTAGAGACCACACGGCACACACAAACATACACGTTAAAATTTATACGAGTGCGTTTTCCGTTGACAAACCCAACAACGCCTCTGTTGCTCTGTTGCTATTGCAACGGTTGCCTACCAAATGTTCGAAATAGATTTCGGCTCTAAATACATTGCCTAAATGTTATATTTAATGTTTAGTCTTTATATATATATATATATATATATATATATATATATATATATATATATATATAATACTATTATTATTATTATTATACAACGCTTTTCAACTTAGGTACCCCCCGAGAACGAAATTTCAACACTATTGAAAAGCTCAAATCTGAAATGGAAGAAAGGTCTACAACAGATATTGAAGAGATTCGTAAAATTGCAGGATTCGCTTTCGGTCCCCAGTTTAATTTGATATCTCAGGCCTGGTCTAATGACACTGAAGCTCTTTCTCTCATATGCCCAACTGAAGAGATCAAGAATACATCAGCATATGTAATCCATCCTTCTGTAATTGATGCTTGTTTCCAGACAGCCTTCCTATTAAAAAGTATTGCAGGTAAATTGGTGCCTAAGACGATCACAGGTATCACCATTTTCCAGAAGATCCCGTGCACTCAACTGTTTCATGCTCACGTGAAAATAATAGAATCTAAAGAAGCACCCACTTACAGTATTACTCTTATGGATTATTATGGTCAAGTTGTGATGATTATTGACAAGTACATAACGGCACAAATTTTATCAGACAAAGTGAAGACAACATTTGATGAAGCAGTATTCACTATTGGTTGGCAGCAGTTAGCGACTGAATCTTCAAAGGCTAGTCAGGATAATGTGTGGCTTATTTTGAGGGACCAAAGTAAGTTTGCAGAACGATTTACACAGCATATTCCCGAATACGAAAGTGTAAATTTTGTTGATGTACAAGACACGACAGATTCAACTCGTGACGCAGTTTCTCAAGCAATAGATAAAGTATTGAGAAAAATAAAAGGCAATAAAAGCTTGCTGGTGATCAATTTTTGGCCTGTCGATGCCCGCATGTTTAATGCTGATGCAAACAATTTCCACATTGTCCACAGCCTTACGTTCGAAACTTGTCTTTCGGTTTCTCAAGAGATTTTAAAAAGAGAAGGCTCTCTCCCGAAGATTCAGCTCGTTTTTGTCACTTCAGGAGTGGTTTCAATTCCTCAAATCCAGGAAAATCAAAATGAAAATTTTCCATGGGGTGCTTCTGTGTTTGGATTTAGGAGAACCTTTTCCGAAGAATTCACAATCCCTAGTGCCTCAGTGATCGACTTGCCAACCGATCCTAGCGAAGAAGATTTCCATGCAATGCTGCAAGACGTTGAAAAACATGTGTTGGAAGAAGAAATTGTTTATCGAGGTGGTGTACGGTATGTCAATCGTATTAAAAAGCTTGTCCTTGATGATTCTACCCTTGCAAAAAAAGAATCGCCTCTCTGGAAAGACGGGACACGTAAGCCTATAAAATTGGCAAGTATGTCAGGGCAGTGGTTCCTACAAAAAGTAACGAACGAACGAATTAAAGAAAAAAAGGAAATTGAAGTTCATTATGCCTGTTCTATCTTAGACAAGGAATGGCGAGATATGAAGAGGAACGATTGTATTTCAATAGCCGGTAAAATATACAATGGACACGAAGAAACTGATTCCTTTGCGGTTGGTGTTTGTAAAGTTGGTGATCTTGCAAGTTTTGTTGCTGCAGAAAAATGCTGTTTCGCTGAGATGAAAGTCGATTTCACAGCCCAACAAGCTGCGTCCATTGGATTTCCAATGGCAATGTCCTACCACATTCTCACAAATATTCTTGGTAATCTGGAAAGTAAGAGAAAAGTCCTTGTCTATCATCAAAGTGAAGAAGTGTGTTTCATCTTCGCTTCCGTTGCCGTATCCATGGATAAAAATGTCGTGTGTCTTGTGGACAATCAGGCAAGTAAAACCCGGATGATGAAATTTGGTATGTTCTTGGTTGTGACTGAAGACGAATTAACGAGGGCTGACTCAAAAGATGCTTGTTATGAGGAATTAGATGCCGTATGCTTTCTCGGTAGGACCAGTTCTTATGTCACACGCCAAATACTGAAACATCTTAAATCAGGGGCTACTGTGATTGCAGTTACTCTCAATGGGGAAGAAACGTTCAGGTTCAACCCATGGATTTACATGAAAGATGTCTTCCTTGTTTTGACCAGTTTACAAGACATCACTGAAAACTCTAAGGATTTTTCAGAGCTATTGGACTTGTGCTGTTCAGTCTTGAAATCGAAAGGCCATTGGAACAACCTTTTGAATATACTACAACACGCATCCAGCATATACGATATCATCGGGTTCCGCAATGAATCCAACAAGCGATGCACGGAAAAAACGCCTGATGTTGAAACAAAGAAAGAGTTTTGTCTAAATACAATTTCTCTGAAGCCTAAGTATCCTCCTGATCAGGTTGATTTTTACAGTCTACCTCTTGACGACAACGGTTTGAAAGATGATCGCACTTACCTTGTTATTGGTGGTGTTCGTGGTTTTGGATTCGAAGTCGCGAGATGGATGGTTGAAAATGGAGCAAAAACAGTCATGTGTACGGCTCGCTCAGCACCATGCGAGGAAAAGAAAGAGGAGGTCAAACTTTTGGAGAAGAAAACTGGAGCTCGAATTTTTTTACGACAAGCAGACGTAACATCTTTGGAAGAAATGAATGTAATAAGGAGTGAACTAGAAAGTTTGCCTGCGACAGCCGGAATTGTTTTTACTGCCATGGTATTAGCCGATCAATTGCTAAAAAATGCCGACTTGAAGACATGCAGAGAGGTTGTGGGTACTAAGGTAAAAGGTAAGTGTTCTGCTTATTGTGGTATTGTAGTCTGCTATAAACTTAACTCAGAGGGGGTTAGACAGCTGTCACTTGAATTTTTGGACCAATGGCAGTGCGCTGTTTCCCAAAAATATTACACAGGATTAAGAAGAGTGGTTTGAGAGAAGGGTCGTTAAGCTAGCGATATATGTGGAATTTTTTTGAGATAAACGTTTCCAACCTGATTTATGAAATTATATTTGATCGACCCGATCGATCAAGGAATTTTAACAACAGTTACAAGAATTTCTTTACGTTTCGGATTTGACGGTTCATGTGCGCTTTTATTTACGATTTTTAAAATTGAAAATCTTAGGATTTAGGATTCAATATACGCCTCTAAGAAAAAAGTGAATGGGGAATCATTAAAATTTGCTCTCTATGTAGCCCAAGTATGTTCCCGAGAAAAAATATTTTGATGATGGCCATCCTAATGGGAAAGTATATGTACCACCACAGCTCTTGGGAGACAACTGTGACATAGATAAATACGGTCACATACACTTATCAAATACCAGTATATTTCGCGCCAAAACACACTTGCGACGACGAAAAATCATAAGAAAAAAACAAAAACAAAACAAAACCTAAGTGAATTTTCAGCTTCGTCTCTCACGCCAGAGTAATAACTGAATACAACGTTATTTTACTGTTAAAGCGCCTGGGTACGAGGCTCTGACTGACCTACATTTCTGGCCATGTTAACAGTGGACATTGCATTACGCTATATTCGAATTCATTACAAACTCTTGCGATATTTTTTTCCTATTGACAGACACACGAGTTACTACTTATTTCCAGATTAATCAGTGAAAATTTAACATTCTTCCTGATGTATGTGTTCGGGAAAGATGTTTTGCATCTTAGACTATAGCTTATGAGAGTAAAAATTGTTATTAATTTCTTTCTAAATTATGAAGTAATTATCAAAAGGGTCTATTAGTTTATTAAGAAATTTACTTTGTTCTAAATAGGAAGTGTTATCCTTCATGAACTCAGTCTATCGATGGATCTAGATTTCTTCATCATGTTTTCCTCAATATCTGGAGTTCTTGGTAATTCTGGCCAAGTATCTTACGCTGCAGCTAACTCCTTTTTGGACCAACTATGCGAATATCGTCAAAACAAGCTTGGGCTGCCTGCCTTGTCGATTAACTGGGGAGCGATCAGTGGTGCTGGGGTATTGGAGAGAAATAAAGATGTTACCTCTATCCTGGAAACTTCTGGATTGCTTTCCCTTCACTATACAAAAGGTATATTGTAGCTAACTATATACGAAATTCACGCATACAAAGACCCCTTGCCTTTTATGATGGCTCGCAATTAGTTTTCACACAGTTGTGCTGAAAACACAATCATTTTATCATGTTACTCAGTATAGTTCTCACTTGTTATTTTTGGGTATTTTTTACTCCTTTTAGAGAAGAGGGTAAATATTACCCCCACAGTAGATTAATGGTAGGGATGTGATTATTACCCCAAAACGCGGGGTATTAATTCGTCTCACATATTACCCGAATTTTCGGGGTGACTTTAACAAGTGAAGCAATAAGCAATCTATGCATTTTTCTTATTTATATATCATAAAAAACAAAAGCTGAAGATAATCAACACATTGGTGGATGTACTGAATTAGATACATAATAAATGGCATGCAGTGTTAGTAAGGCTAACTGCAGTCTCCGTCTCATAGCATATTTCTGGATTTGTCTAAATTATGCAAAAAAAGCCGTATCAAATATTAATCAAGCTTTTCTCAACTGAAACATGCACTATTAGCAGTAAATAAATGACACTTGACAAATTGTTTATTATGAAACAAAGTAGCTATTATTAGTTACAGAAAACAAGGATTTCGGATTGTGTTGCCCGAAAGTCTTCTTTTTCATTGTGTTTCACTGGTGATGTTATCTCGGAAATTGGCATGACATACTCGTGGAACAAATCATCGTTATTGTCTACTTCAAATACTTCAGCAGAAGGAAGAAACTCCTCGCTCTGAAATAGGAATAATGCGGCAATTTCTGATCCATGCATATGCACGTTTCTTAACTATACAATTATGCTACAAGTGTTCTATTAAGTTTAATTGGCGTAAAATATATCTATTATATGAACACGACTGTTATAGAGGTTTATACGCCACTGAGAAAAATCTTTATATATCATCATATTTATAAAAAAATCATATTTATAATATACACGTTCAAGAGACTATAACTATAAACGCATTTTACTGAACACTGTTATTTTAAATGTGTGCCCTTCAATACATATTTGTTTTTGAGTTACTAAGAATTGTCGTTAAAGCATAATTTGCTCATATAATAAACAGAATAGCACATGGTTGCTTGGAAATATAGATTTATCTATTGTATAAAAAAAATATTGCTCACTCGTTCGCTGCGCACACCCGTGAGTAATATTCTCTCAACACTCGAAATAAATTCCATATTTCCGCGCAACCATATGATATTCTATATTTAATACATATATGAGGTCTGGATAATATATTGCTAATGTTCTTTTAAAAAAACACTTCCGGCCGTAATACAAAAATATACTAAATTATGTTGCTAATTTCAGGCTATATTATCAACGTTTATAACATTTTACGGTATGCGCTTTCCGAAAATTTCCACTTCATATCGCCTAGATAAAGGCCGAATAGCGAATAAGGCCATTAACAAATCATACCGTGATGTTGCTATAATATAAACAATTTGAAATAATAGTACTCGCCATGTTTGAAATCACTCGTACTATTAGACCTAATCCCAAATTATTCTCGACATCGCATAGCTTGCTACCTATACAAATTCATGCACAGCTATTTTTCCGACTTAAAACTTTTGTGCTACTCAGCATAACCCCTTGTCTATAGTTAGCTATCTAAATTAACCCAAAAACACATACATCGAAGTTTGGCGTATAGAGTTGTGATATGCTGCAACATTATACATGTATTTTCTTTTTATATAATTATATAGGATTCGAATTTCTGAAATCTATCATGCTTAAAAAATTTAACGAAGCTCAAGTCTGTGTATGTCCTGTGGATTGGCAAATCTATCTTAAAGGGCATACTTCTTCGAGATTGCAATTGAAACGAGATGAAACGATGGTTGTTGCTGACGATATTATGTTGGAAAACCTAGCACTACAACCGTTAGACTTCAGAGTTAACTACGTTCAAGATTTTGTTAAGCGCCTCCTCAGCTCATGGTCGGGAAGTGAAGCCTCCGAATTGAACTTAAACATCGGTCTTTACAAGTATGGCATCGATTCAATTGTTGCAGCAAATATGAGACTTCGAATTAAAAATAGCATTGGTGCCACGTTTGAGGTACGTTTGTAATAATATTTAAGTCAGCAAGATCTCGTGCATTGCCAAGTTCATCTGATGATGACTGCACTTATCCGATACAGATTTGTATTTATAAAGATTTCAATTTTTCTTGACATTTAGACGTACTATTTTATTCAACCAAATGTGAGCGGCCTAACAATCGTCAATGATATTCTGGAACAAATCGAGAACATCAACACCACGAGTGTGAAGGGTGAATCTTCACAAAAAGCTAACCAAAGCAGAACAAATAGTTTGCCTGTTGACAGAGAGAAGGGCGCTTCTGCAGATAAAAATGTTCTCTTATCTAATGTTTTCCCCGTTTACAACGCTGAGAATGAAGAAAGTGAAGATGGAGTTGAATTGCAATCCGTTGACAACCCCGAGAAAGTAATTCCTCTCTATACATCAGAAAGTGTGTTTGTGAAAGTATTCATGGTTCATGGTAGCCCCAAATCAGCCCTTGCTTTGGCATCATTTGCACAAGGTTTCCAAAAACAGGTGAAAACTTGTTGTTTTAACATAAAATATACACACAGGAAGAGCACAAGAAGAACTTTCAAAACGAGGACAGATCGCACTTTCTCTTTTTTTCCGCGCTACTCAATCGCCTATAAAGATCGTTTGACAAATAAGGCGTGAGACTAGGTGTGGCAATGCTCTTGTTTATCGAGAGAGACATATGTTATTCATACACTTTGTTGTACAAGAGAGCTGATTTAATTTTCTTCTATTCCATGCTTCCAGAGGTTATCATTTGTTCAACTTTCTGTTACAGGCCAAGATTGCATTGTATGGTATTGGAGTAGATGACACGTCGATTGAGAAGAGTGACTATGGAACAGTGCTGACACTCGCCCGAAGATATGTAGATTTAATCAGAAAAATACAGCCAAGCGGTCCATTTTATCTTGGTATGGATATTTATATTAAGCATTGTAGCAAAACAAATAACAAAAGACTTTTTGTAATTCAGTGTTGGGTTCTCAACTGTCATGCATGCTAGACGCCTTATCATAAACAATATAGGGAGATTTAGATTTACGGCTACGAGATTCACCATCGTCGAGCAAAACGCACATTTTTTTGGATATGCTGCCTGGTACCGTTCTGATAATTAAACCTCGCCACCAACCATAATAAAAGCGTGTTTATACTGTTAAGTTTTCCGTAAATAATTAGACTTTTCGTTTTGAAAAATAAATTTAAAATTACGGTCATGAAAACAGTCCTCTCTGACCCCCCAAGAAATATCAATATTTTTACACTGAAATGCCGTAGTCAGTCAGTAAGAAGAAGGCTTTAGCAGTGACTACGAGTACGACTACGGGTCGCAGCGTAACACCTGATACACCCCCTGTTAACGGTACTCCACGCAGAAGAAAAGGTGTTTGAAAGACGGAAAATGTTAACATTTTAAAGTTGACTCTATCGATCACCATCTTTGCACCTTAATTTTAAAAATAAACGGTAAAGGAATATTGTTTGGTTAAAAAATATATGCGTTATCGTCTACCACACTAAAAATCACGAGGCATCCTTTTTTTAAAAAAAAGCAAACTAAAATATCTCCTAAATCGATCCTGAATCCAAAAAATATATAATTAACGCGAGGATTAAACGAAAAGTTTTATTAGTTAGGGTTTTTCTCCGAGCAAATGAAAGGATCCATTGGTTATTTTATTGTTTCATTGTTCTATTGGATTGTCCTCTAAATTTATGAATATATGTAAAACGTAGGCGTCGCTTTTCTTAGCAAACTGAAATTCTCATTCCCCTTATTTTGGGAAAAGATAACTAACAAAGTTATAAAGCAATCTTGATAAAATTTTCATTGTAGACTTTAAAGGGTCAATTGCGTCGGACGTGAACCTGAAAGTGTTGTATTTCGTTCAGTCCAAATAAAATAACGACTGTTTATTTTAGATAGATCGTAGACGTTTTAGAAATTATAGAAATAATCGAATCGCAAACCATATAAGAACTAGGATATTATGTTTTTAGCTGGATACTCCTTTGGTGGCCTGGTGGCTTACGAAATGGCGAGTGAACTGAAAAGAAATAATGAAACTGTCGCGATGGTGTTCATGGTGGATACGTACGGATGGCACCCTAAAGCTTTGGCAAACTCCAACGAATTCGTGAGAAAATTTGCCGAGCATAAGTTGAAGTTGACTGAAAAATATGTGGTAAAATGCGATCATTTATCATGTTGATTTACTCGTGCTATATATTACTATTTTTTCTTGAATCCACGGGCTGGGAAAACCAGTATGTGAGAATGTGCTATATACCACAATTGTCGCGGCCTATAGCTATATATAGCACCAATCAACGGGCTTTTCCATTGGTCAATTTGAAATTGTGGAGATAATACCATGACTATAAAAACAGTAAACAATTGGTTACCTATTTATTGGACCAACTTTTTATTGGATTTCAAATTTGATTTCTAGACAAGAAAACTCATCGAAAAAATGGCCTTCGCTGAGCTGGGTATAAATAAGGATACCCTTAATAATTTTTATGGAGAATTACAAGACGACGTGGAAGTCATTGCGGCGTTAGAGAGTCAAGCTGCCGAAGAAAACCTTGTGTTTCCATTGAAAGAAAAAGCTGAAAAACTTCAGTATGAACTCAGATCAGCCGCTGAGGCTCACTTGGATTGGCAACCTTCCAAGGTAAATGTTTTACTTTATCTTAAGATCTTTTCACTTTTTTAGTTACATGAAAACACCAAGAAATTGAGATGTTAATGGAATATTAGGGCTTAATTAAAACCAGTGTAGGTGGACACTGGCGTAGCCAGCATCGATAATTGGGGGGGTCTATATTCATATATTCATGTAAACAGACTGTAAAGACAATTGATTTGAAAAGAAATTAATCCTGCGTATCACGAATATATGAATATGGACCCCCCCAATTATCGTTCTGGCTACGCCGCTGTAGGTGGAAGAATAATCCAGAGCAAGATACTTGCAACATTACCTTGATCAAATTTTAAAACCGGTGATTTCTGACTTTTTTGTATGCAAGTGCAAACGACAAATACATTTAGTGATTACTAGTACGGTAGAGGCTATTTATTGAAAGCGATATCATATTGACAAGTAAAAGAGATTACATCTGTGTTCGTTTGAAATTTGGAAGCACATGCAATTACCTAATTTGTACATTCGCTTTAACGACTTCTGCACGATGATTTGTGTTGAGTTTGGCAATTTCATGTGTTAAAAGTCCATATGTATGTTTTTTTTTCTTTTTTTTTAAGATATGCTACGAAGGGACATTAACATACGTAAGCTGTGATGAAACAAACTCATTCTCTCTTTCCACACCAGCGATATGGGGAACGTTAGTTGAGAGAATGGATTTGCTCTACGTTTCTGGACGTCATCTAGAGCTGAGCGAGGAGACTCGGGCGGAAATTTGTGGATTCATCATGATGACTACAGCAGCAATGAACTATCTGTCAAAATTTTCATACAATAAATTCCAGGCAGTAAGATCAAAGCGTCAAGAACGATTGGTGGAATTTCTAAAGCAAGGGCTATCAATCTGGATGCTGTCAAGTCAATCTGGTACATCTATAGGTTCGTTAGAATGGATAAAAGGCACTCTCTTGTTGAATTGCGAAGAGACCGTATTTAGTTTTCAATATAAATCGTTTGGATTTCACAAAATGCAAAATATTGCGATGAGAGGTAAGTCTTATCCTCGAAATTAATACATATTCCTTTTTCTTGATGTCGGAGCCAGCAAATGAGATAACTTTAAGCCTTGAAAATAAGTAAAAAGAGCGATTAATTAAATCAATAACATTTCGACTTGTAATAACTTGCGCCAGTGAAACCCAGTAAGTTATTCTCATTATTTGGGAAGAATTCAAAATCCGTACCGGAAGAGGAAATAGGTAAAATGAGACTTTGAAGGGGAGAGATTACGATAGCACAGGTAGTAACGTGCCCCAGAGGTACTTAAGGGCGACGATGGTACTATGGCTTGTTTACCGTGCTATGATGGTACTATGGCTTTTTTAACTTCCACCATCTTCGGCTTCGCAGTTTTGCTAAGGACGAATGACGGAAATTCTTACTGCAGATATATATTAAGCTCACTGGAAACTCTACCAGATGTTTACATCCTGACGTTTTTACATGTCACGTGTTTTAGTCGAATATTTAAATCAGTTCTCGATCACAATGAAATGGGCAACCCTGGGTGTGGGTTGGGTTTGTCATTAATTGGCTTTAGTTGATTTGCTGCCAGTGATCTCTAAAAATATTTTAACGAAGGGCAACAGTTGAATTTACAGCACCGGCAAAACAACGTGGGTTTTTATGCACAAGGCCATCTCATCTGAGCAAGAGTAAAAGCCTAAAACAAGCGCAAGGACACCTCAAATTTTACTATAAAAAGGTTTAATCATTTTTTGCCAGTTGGAGGCGATGTTGTTGTTTTCTTGCAAAGTAAGCTATCGCCCAAAAAATAGATGCTCCTGTAAGCCCATAGGAGCAATGCTAATGTCTCTCTAGGCCAAAACCGCAAAATAATATTCACGTTACCCGTATTTTTTCACAGTTTTCAGCCAGAGAAAACAATTTACCACTATTTTTATCTATGGACTTTTCATGGTAAATCGCCGATTAATATATCACTCTCTCTCTGATACAATATATATTTCTAATATGGTCCTGGGTTTATTTAAAGATTGATGGTTTCGCGCAAAAACCACGCAAATATAAAGATCACGTGATTTATATATTTAGGTATCATAAGACAACAATATATTTTACTTTTTAGATTTGACAAACATCATTCCTGGCAGGCATGTTGATGTAATTCAGAAACACCATGGAAAAAAATCATACGTTGATTTACTGACATGTTTGCTGACCAAAAAAGACCGTCTTCAGACGTTCCGATCCATGGACATGCAGCGCCTCAAACTACTAGTGGATTGTTTAGAAGCACTTTTTGGGATACCGTTCATGCACTGATAGAAAATTTTACACAGTCTCTTTATGGACAATATTTATGCCCTACATTAATAAGTTTTAAAACACAATGTATACTGCACTATCGCTGTTATAATCATACCTATGAAATGTTTTTGTTTTAGACTATATAATTATATAGTGGATCAAAGACTAAGGTGGATTTTGATGGAAGTTCACGAAATAAAACTTAATTTTCCGTAATCAATAAATTTCAAATAATCATCTTTTTATATTGATATTTAAAATGTTTAGTCCTTCACTTACTTTTTTAAATAAATATATCATTGTTATAATAATCTATATAATGTGTAGAGATCAGTTTGACACTCAACGACTGAACGACACGCTTTTAATATACAAAAACACAACAAAAATCTAAATTAATATTTATGCATCAAAACATATTTTTTACCGTTCAGTTTCTTTGTAGTTTTGTTCAATAGAAGTCAGATACTCTTTCCTGATTTTACAATGGGATTGTGCGAAATGAAATTTATGTTTTGAATCTCACTTCTACATATTTCGACCTCGTCTTGAAATAAATGTAAACAAATTGACGCCAAAAATTAATGACCTACGACAATTTTTCACACGTTAAAAAAACGTACGTCCAATCAAATTGCATGAAGTTAATTTACCCAGTGAGATACGATTTTTTTTTAACATTGGTTTTTTTCATCATTGGCGTATATCAGTCCCTTTATTCTCACGAAAAGTTAGATTTGCACAAAATTTGCACTAGATGCATATTTTGTGCAAATTGCGTATTTGGAATTTACAACCATTGCGTATTTATCTTTGCAACCCAATAAATTGGAAGCGCTTTTGCCACAAATTTGCCCGTGTGCAAAATTTTCTTAAAATTTGCAACGCATTTGCTTATACCTGCAAATTTTGAACAAATTTATCAAGTTTGTCTTATAAAAAATTCTTAAAAATCGCTTTTCGTGATTTAGCAAACGAAAATTAGTTAGTCCACATGGATAAATATTTATATATCAATAAAAATAGTTCAACGACAAGATTTTAAAAACATATTTAAATGTACGCCGGATTATCATCATGTCTCGATTATTATTAGAATAACGCCTTTTCGAACGGTTTGTTCTAATTATTACTTATATCATTGTACAATTCTGCAATATAGCTAAATGTGCCTGGATTGTCGTTTTGAATATCAATAAGAGCAAGCCGGCTAGCACGGATAGCACTTTGTATAACCTGACTGACTGGATAAAATAAAAGATATGCTCAAATAAGAGGTTTTACTAAGCTATCTATAGGCTTTTATATTTTTTTAATTTTTGTATGAACAATAAGTATATTAAGGCGTATGTTATCGAAGATAAACCTAACAAAAGGCGGCAACGAGGCATTAAGCATTTCTCATATTAGTATATATCTCCACCAAATTGGCAATAAATTGGCATATACATTCGCATAATAATTTTACTAAAGCAAATAAAGCACCAAATACTTCTCAACTTTGCTGCATAGGGCAAATTTACTGCAAATTTATCCTGTGAAACCGGGCGAACGATTACGGAATTTTTTAATCAAATTAACTATAAAAAACTATACTAACCCTTTAAGAAGGTCCTTAAATGTGGTTGGAACGGCGAAGAGAGGCTTTTTGCGCATGCCTATTTAAATTGAAGCATTGACAAAATACCAATTAAGCAAGGGCTTTGAAGCAACGGAAAGGTTGTAGTTGGTGATATTGAAGGACAACATATCTCGTCAGGTGACTTGTATTTTCCAATGTGACGGACGCATAATTGCTGCCAAATTGAAGATTTTGCAAGGGCGCGAAGCGCCTAAAGTAAAGTCGAAATTATATGTGTAATGTCCCCTTCGCTGATATGTAATAACTCACACAAATCTTTAGCTTTTCTACAATCGCTTTAATACAAAATACACAAACGATACAAAACGAAAGAACACACTTCAAACGACAGCCTCGTGATAAGTTGTCACGTGACTTTAATCTAATACAAATAAATCTAATCAAGTATCCCGATTCTACATCCCTTCCTTTCCAGTCAATTTAGTGTTCGAACAACCAATCATAACTTCAACTACACGAACTATCGTGTTCATACTGTTTCGTAATATATTTGTATCACTTTGGTTTGTCCATGATAAAATCATTGAATCGCTCGGGTAATCTAATCTCCCGCTTAAGTCTATTGGTGATAACCGTTTCGCTATCCGGTTGCGGCTGTTGTTGGGACTCGCTTTCCGTAGCTGTCTCCACTGGATTATTATATGGTTTTACAAATGAACTGTCTCTCCTAAAGATCGAGCCATCGTCCGCCTCTACCATCACTTCGTTCCCCTCCTTCGTGACCACCGTATACGGCTCCTTTCGTAGTTGGCAGCTAACTTCCCTGACGTTTTAGTGTTCCGTAGTAGTACTTGGTCTCCTGGTAGAATAGTGCTATCATTTGCCCTCCTTTTTTCATCTGCATTAGCTTTTTGTACTAGCTTGTTTCGCCAATCGCGATCCCTTATGTTCTCATCAAAGTCGTCTATATCTCCCCTAAGTTCTGGAAGTTTACTTCTCAGTTCACGTTTGAACATAAGGAACGCTGGTGTTTTTCCAGTTGTGACTTGCGGTGTTGTTCTATACGCAAGAAGGAATTGTGGTAACTCCTTTCTCCAATCCTTGCCTTCAACTTGGGCCACTTTTAGTGCCTTGAGAAGAGTGCGATTTTGGCGCTCCACTTCACCGTTAGCTTGTGGCCAAAGTGGTGGTGACGTTCTGTGTTCAATATTCACTTGTTGTAAAAACCTCTTGAACTCCTCACTAACAAACTGTCTCCCGTTGTCTGATTTCAACGAGTAAGGAAAACCAAATCTAGCAAAAATTTCGTTTAGCGCTTTGATAATCTTTTCTGAAGTTGTTGAGTGCATAATGGAAACTTCGTAGTATCGACTATAGTAATCCACGACTACCAGCAAGTATTCTCCGGTTGGCATTGGCCCCATCAAGTCTACTGCGACATCTTGCCATGGGCCTGTAGGCATCTCGGTCCGTTTCATGGGTTCCGGTACATTATACTGGCTGACTACTTGACATCCATGACACGATTTACACACTCGTTCAGCATCTATGTCCATCTTGGGCCACCATACTTTCGTTCTTAATCTGCTTTTCGTCTTTACAATTCCTTGATGGCCTTCATGTGCCGCTTCCAAAACCTTTCTTCGCAACATCTGAGGAATAACGATTCGATTCCCCCGTAAAACAAGTCTACCAATCATGCAGAGCTCATTCTTTACACACGCATATGCCGACAGTTTACATTTAGTCCAATCTCCCGATTCGATATAGTATCGCACACTTTGTAATTCAGCGTCGATTTCTGACGCTCTCTCTATTTCTTTAGTCGTTAAGGCCACGGGTGTCGCTTGTATGGCAACGAAACGGATGACGTCCTCTTTCTCGCTGCTGTGGTCTTTTGGACTCTTCTGGTTCATTCTAGACAAAGCATCGGCAATGTTCGTCTTTCCAGGCCGGTAAACGACCTTGAAGTTGTGGCACTGAAGCCGTAATACCCATCTTTCGATCCTTGCTGAGGGTTTCGATGTCTTGTTGAAAATACACTCTAGTGGCTTATGGTCAGTTTCCAGTTCGAATTCACGACCATACACATATATATTAAACCGCTCGCAAGCCCACACGAGTGCAAGTGCTTCCTTCTCTGTTTGGGCGTATCGCCGCTCTACGTCCGAGAGGTTCCTGGAGGCATACGACACCGCTCTCCACTGGTCTCCTTGCAGTTGTAGCAACACAGCTCCAATTCCCTCCGGCCCTGCATCCGCGACGATTCTCGTTTTGCAGTCGTTTCTAAAATAAGCCAGGGCTTCAGCCCTAGTCATCATCCATTTCAGCTTCTCAAACGCCTGCTGTTGCTCTGACCCCAAACGAACGACTGTCCCTTTCTTAGTACACGACGCAACGGCTCTGCAATCTGCGCAAAGTCCGGGATAAACTTTGCCGAATACTGTACTAACTGTACGAACGACCTAACTTCCGAAACATTTTGTGGTGGTCTAGCGTTGACTACAGCAGCAACTTTCTCTTCACTTGGTGCCACCCCTTTGGCACTGAGCTTGTGGCCAAAAAAGGTCAAGGCCGGAAGTCTAAACTGACATTTGTCCCCATTTACGGTAAGACCTTTCTCTCGCAGACGTGTTAGTACTTTATAAAGATTCTCATCATGCTCGGATAAATCAGCCCCGTAAACAATAAGATCATCCGCAATATTTGCCACCCCATTGCACCCTGCCAAAACATCTGAGATTATTTTCTGGTACTTCTCTGGAGCTGAAGTAATTCCGAACATCAGTCGACGATATCTATATAACCCCCGGTGTGTCACGAACGTCGTAATGTCCCTTGAATCCTCTGTGAGTTCCACTTGATGAAACCCCATTTGAGGTCTATCTTACTAAATACCGTTGCTCCATTTAAATCATACAAAACTTCTTCTATGGTCGGAATAGGATGTCTTTCCCTTACAATCGCCTCGTTTGCCCTTCTCATATCGATACAAACTCGAATATCCTTTCCATCTGCTTTTGGAACAACCACTAATGGTGAAACCCACCTTGTAGGCGTTGCTTCTGGCAATTCTTCGATAATACCATGTCGAGTAACTCGTCTAACTTATCGTCTACTTTGTCTCTTAGACCGAATGGCAGTCTACGCACCGGCTGAGCAACTGGTATAACATCCTCATCGATATGCAGTTTCAGCTTGTAATCCTTAAGTAGTCCGACTCCAGTAAAAATATCAGCAAACTCCTCACGAATATCTGAATCACTTCCCTCTTGTGTGACCGTGTTAACAGTTCTTATTATTTCTTCAGGTCCAACCCTGAGTACTTTCAATTGTTCGGCTGTTTTCTTCCCCAATATAGGCCTTCCGTTCTCTTTAATCACAGTGAAATCGTCTACACATCTTTCACTGTTTGCCTCGCACACAATCTCTGCTGTAAATGTCCCTACAACGTCGATTGGCTCTTTCTGTCCATACGCAAACAGTTTCTTGTCTGATACCCTTGACTCGCACCTAACATGTTTTCTTTTAAGATAGTTCCAGAGTTCACAATCAATTACATTACATGTTGCACCTGAGTCAATTAAAATACTTTCTAGTTTCACTCCTCCTAATTAGATCCACCTGACCCATATCTTTTTGTCCATGCCCACCAATAACAAAGGCATAGTCATCTCTTGTTGGTGTTTTTCCTTCTTCTCAGAGACTTTATATGCTCTTTTCTCCTCTTTTTTTCTTTCTCCTTGTTGTGCTTCTCCCCTGCTTTTTTGCAGCAAGCTGAGAAGTGACCTATGATTCCGCATTTATTGCAGCTCTTGGACTTTGCTGGACAATTTGCGTCTCGAGCAAAGTGCCCAGTTTTATTACAGTTGTAACATCGTCGTACGTTATCCTTGTTGTCGTGCCCAGTCCCCTTGGCTGAGTATCTGCGCTCTTTCTGATCTGTGTTGACCTTTTTCTCTTTTCGTCCGCTCCAACGCGATTTATGACTCACAACGTTTACTGTATTCGAACCTTCCATTGATTTCAACTGCTCTTCTACCGCCTCATATGCCCGCGCAATATCTTGTAAATCCTTGAGTGTTGCATTAACGCGTTCAAGAAACTTCCGTCTAAGCTTTGAGTCGCCACATTTCTCAATTAGTTGGTCTCGAATTGCTTCTTCCACGTTCTGAAATTCGCACGTAGTAGCTTTTTGCCTAAGACGAGAAACAAAATGATCCACTTTCTCGCCGTTCATCTGACTCATTTGACGAAACTGGTGTCTCTCAAACGGTAGATTCACTTTAGGGACGAAATACTCATCCAAGACTTGACGCAATCCTTAAACTCTTTCTCTTCGTCTTCGTTTACTAACGTAAAATATAGTTCTTGCAACTGCAACCCCCCCGTATGCAGAAGTAATGCCACTTTCTGTTTGTCATTTATTACTCCCTTTGCCGTTAAAAACACATTAAATGACCGCTTCCAGCGCTTCCATCTCACAGCCAAATTCGTTGGGTCTTCCCTGGGGTTAAAGCAAGGAAGCCCTTTGACGTCGCTTGTCAATAAACTTGCTTGAGCGCCTGCCGGATTGCCGTTTTGTCCTGCGCCATCTTCGTCCGCGACAGACATTTCAAATATTTTCGCTAAATACTACACTCCCGATTGGTAATCTTGCCAAATTCACGGCTATAATGTTAGACGAACTTCCATCCTCGTCGCCAATGTAATGTCCCCTTCGCTGATATGTAATAACTCACACAAATCTTTAGCTTTTCTACAATCGCTTTAATACAAAATACACAAACGATACAAAACGAAAGAACACACTTCAAACGACAGCCTCGTGATAAGTTGTCACGTGACTTTAATCTAATACAAATAAATCTAATCAAGTATCCCGATTCTACAATATGGGAACTCAAAAGTGAGATATAACAATGCTTCATACCTCATCAAACTCGCAAAATTAATAACCATGCATATAAGGTAATATGCCCCATGCAGTTCCCCCATCTCATGCGGTGTTCGTGAGTTCGAAAAAGGAAGGCCAATACGATAAACAATTTCATCCCAAAGCATCAATAACAACAAAAACAGGAACATGTACAACATTACACGATGCAACGGTGTACAGAAACAGCCTATACTAAGCGTGAACATTCAGAAACCAACCCATCAAAGAGCGAGAGCATCTGCCATCTAGCCTAAAAAGATCGATGACATTACCGATAAGGTTGAAACAAATAACTGTAATTCTACTCAAACATAAGGGAAGAGCTAGGAGAAATTGTTATGTCCGACTTCTGTGTTCTCATATAATTTCGACTTTGCTTCAGGCGCTTCGCGCCATTGAAATCTTCAAATATATATTTCAAACACAGAAGCTTCGATATAACAATGCTTGTTTAAAGCCTACAAGACTCCTCAACTCTGTTTTTGGGACAAGACTGCATGACCAAAAGTGGTTGCAAACACTGGTTTATAGTTAAATCGTTTAGAAGTTGAGGAAGATGTAGACCAGTCTGCCATGCGTTGAATATCCGCTATACAAACACCCTGTTTTCGGGCCGTAGTAGTTGAGACAGACCATGTTGAATGAGCCTTAAATATCTCCGTGTCTATTCCCGCATCCCCAATAAGGGTTTTTAACCATCGTGCAATAGAGCAATATTTAACCGGCTTGAAAAGACGGTGGTAAGATTGGAAAATTGGATTGCATTGTGAAGGGGATAGATTGCAAAGAAAACCGAACGTATGTCCGAAGAAGTTTTAGTTAAACCTGGAATGTTGTATTGCATTCTGTATTGTAATCCAATGTCAAAAAATCAGACAACAACTCAATTATATTTCCCAAAGAGGTGCGAAGTGAATTAATTTTTCGTTCCGTATACCAGCCAGAGTTTGACAGCCCTCTCTGAAATTCCTTTTGCCGAGATTGACTGCTGGTTCAAGCCATGCTGCCAGAGTCTTGTTCATCATTAGAGGGTGTTGTTCCCCCCGAGGGCTTCTGAGAAGGTTGGGAAATTGAGGGAGGAGAACTGGTGCAGATATCAACATGTCCCGAATTCCGAATTGCTGGGTACCAGGCCTGTGTCGGCCAAACTGAAGTAATTACCAGCAGTCCCCTCCCCCTCCTCCTGAACTTTGGCTAAATTACTAAAATTAGGTTTCATAATGAGGCGAAAGGGTGGGAATGCATAATGTCTCCCTGGGGACCATGTCTGTCGAAAAGTATCTGATGCTAGACTCTGGGGTTTCGGTTTCTAAAAAAGTTTGGAAGCTTTGTGTTTAGGCGATTCGCAAACAAAACTATCTGACAAGGACCCCGAATTTTTATTAGAGCACAGAAAATCTCGGGATTGATTTTCCAGTCGCTGGAATCGTGGTAATACCTGGATTCCTTATCGGCCTGTGTGTTCCATATCCCTGGTAAATGTTCGGCATTCAGAATCATGCCCTTCTCCAGTGCCCAATTACATAATTGAGCCACTAGTTTGGATAGAATTGGAGTGGGTCCCCTCAAGTTTGTTAACGAAACGGACATGTAGATATAACATGTTTTTCGTAAAACTTTTGAGAGCAAAGGCCCCTGCCAACAGTTTTAGACAATTGATGTGGCATAACCGTTCTGTTTTGCCATGCAAAGTCCCCAATGCTTAATCCATTGCACACGGCTCCAAATTGGGTGGGGGGAATTAGAATGGCCCTACCATTCCAAGCATCTAGATTGGCTAATCACCACTGAAGTCCCCCCCCCCCTCATTGAAGGGCTTTGTTTTTCAGACTCTGGAGATATCGATAGTGCAATCCAGCAGGAAAAATGCTTAGATATAAGCAATAAGTTTCCCTATTAATCGAGCAACGTCTCCACAGTGATCTCTTTTTGTCCCGTCATCTGCGCAAAGAGACTGTATTGACCTGATTTTGGTTTGGGGTAAGACCAGGGTCGTGTTCAAGGTATTCATCTGAGCCCCAAGAACTCCAAGGTTTGTGAAGGGGTGAACATCGATTTTGTCTGATTCACTAAAAATCCTAGGTTCTCACGCAAATGTAATGCTTTTGACATGTCCCGACGGAGTCCTAAAGGTGTTTGGTTCATAAATAACATACCGTCTAAGTAGATTAGGCGTATTCCCTCTCTCCGGAGGAGGGCAGGGACTGGTTTCATTAATTTCGTTAAAATACGAGGGTCTCAAGCTAGACCGAACGGATTCAACGGAAGGCAGGCAAATTCCATCATGGATCCCTTCCAGAGAAAGCGCAGGAATCTCTGATGGTTTTTCCAGATTTGAATCACAAAATGGACGTCTTTGAGATCTATTTTGCCTAGCCAATCGTTCGGTTGTAGCAG